GCTTTTAATAAAGCTTTTCTAGTTTAAATATTGTCTTATCATTCGATGTCTACTATGCTTTTTTTAAATAAAAATATAGCAGGAACAAAGTCCTACACAACTATATCATATTTGGTTTATGTAAATATCAATGAGAAAAGATAAAAATGAATAAGATGTACTCACTACAGAATTCAGCATTCTAAATTTATTTGTAAAAAATCAGAAATATGCTGATAATACAAGAAATCGATTTCAAACTAAATAAATTCATTTATTTAAAAAAATCATATGTTGAGGACTTTGAATATTATCCAATTGTGAAATAAATGTATATGTACCATTATCACGATTATATGAAAAACAAACTAAATTATTTGATTTTTGATTAGCTATAAGTAGAAATTTTCCGGTTGGATCAAATGTAAAATATCGTGTAAATGAACCATGACAATCAAGATGTTCTTTGACACTTAAAATTTCTTTCTCATTATTTTCATTTAAATTAAAAATAACAAGATTTTCATCGCCACGATTTGACACAAGTAGATATTTTTCATCGGGTGTAAATTGTAATTCAGCTGGATAATTTTCTTTACTTGAATCTAAAATAAATAAAACTACATTATATATTTTTATATGTATATTTATAACCATTTTCATCATCTTGTCGTCGTGTTTTTATTGTTTGAATATATTCAAGTTCACCAGACGAAGAATCTACTCGATAAACATTTGTTGTTGAATTTAATTCATTACATACAAAAGCTAGCGGTTTAGTTGGATGAAAAATAATATGACGAGGTCCAGCACCTGCTTCTGTTTTTATTTGATTATTAATTAATTTAACTTCACCATTGGTATCATTAAAATGATATACACTTATTGTATCGGTTCCTAAATCAACAACATATAAATAACCTTGATGAAATAATGCATGATGACAATATGAATGTTGTTGGCGAGTAGGATGTGGACCAGATCCTTCGACTGTATTTGTTTGAGCACCTTTTTCTTCGGGTTGTTTACAATCATTCAATGGAAAAAATGTAAAATTAGATGCACCTTTATCACCATAACTAGA